TGTGAAACACTGTAAGGTGTAAGGTATGCTACGTAAACTTCCTCTGTCTTCTCTTTGGAAAAATATAAATTTCTCACAATGCTTTTATCTGAGGGGAGTTTTGTTTTTGGAGGGTTTGAAGAATAGGGCCAGGGAGTAGCTGACATAGGGCTCATGTGAATGCGTCCCTGCATTTGGGACCACAGGCACCTAAAGAATCATGCAGTACAATGAAAGGAGATTTGTAAACATATCAGAACCAGGGAAAATGATGGAGGGAGACACACACGGGTTTTTTAGGGCAATTTTTATTCTTGTGAAAAGAACCCCTGACCCCTGAACCAAGGAAATGTTTCTGTGCTTAACTGCCCAGTGACCTGGCCCCTCAGCCTTGTGTGTGGCCTACTTCTCAAACCACCATGATCTCTCTGGATCTTAACACTGATGAACATGATTAACTATGTTTCTGTACAAACAAGCACTACCTGGAAAAGTCACTGTGTATCTGCTTCAATTTCAGGACAGGATTCCATGGCTCTGCAACTTGCATGACATTTTACTAAGGTAAGAGCATCAGGTCTTGGAGAAGCCAGTGAGTAAATAAAACCCATCAGAAAGTACAGGAAAAAAATACAGTCTTGAAATCACACCTGACTGATGATAAAGGATCCCAGAAATGCAATGCACTTCTATCAAGTAACCAACAATGATTTTAACTCAGCCTTTTGGCTGACACATAGTTTAGTCGGGTTCTGGAGGCAACCTTCCAGACAGCTCCACAACTACCGGCTGGGAATCTTGGTCATCCCTTTGGCTTCCATAAGCCTATTTCTTCATCTGAAAATGGGGATAAATATAGTTCCTACTCACAGATTATTGTGAAGAATTAGTGAGATGAAGCATGAGTAGCACTTAGAACAGTAACTAATACATAATAAGTGCTCAAAAAATTATAACTGACGCCACCACTGTTATAGCCATACCTTAATCACCACTTTTTCTTCCCCCTACTTCAAGCTGTGGCAACCAGGAACATCTGGGGTCATTTGTAAGTCAAGAGGTAATTGGCCACCAGGATTGAAGTCCCAAATTGTCCAGCTCTGTAGCGTGCCTCTGAGCAAATGAGGTCCCTCCACCCATCTGTGGGCCTGACCCCTGGGAATCCTGGTTTCGACAGGGAGAAGGATAAAGAAATGGCAGGGAATGGGTTATAAATCTTGCTTTCTAAGATGAAGTCATGTTTTATACATCTAAAACCCTCTGAGCCACATGAAATTACGATTAAAACTCAAGTATACTTTTTTACACCACATTGACATGGCTGGCAACCCTGTCTTTGCTTGAGATTAGGGTTTTGATTTAGGATTTAGGGTTTCAGGGTTTGAGAACTCCTGCCCTAACACAAATAGACTTGCCAGAGTTCAAATATACTGACCTGTGATGGAAGCAGGAGTGTAGATCTTCAGGAGAGCAGAGATCAGACCTCCAGACCCAGAATAAACAAGCTCTCATTCATGGCCCGTGGGAAGAGCTGGAAGGCTCAGGTACCTAAGTTCGTTGCTGATGATACACTCCATCCACTGGGTCTCCAGTCTACGTTGGCCATAAGTTCAAAGGCAGGCCCCTTCAGAATTCTGTTCTGAAGTGAACTTTCTACTAGGTACTCAAGCCAAGGTCTACCTTTTACCTCTGTACTCAAGTCCCTTCCCCAAGGACAAGGGCACACATTGGCTGGGTGGAAGCCAGGTCTCACTCTCTTGTACTGTCTTGGACCACTCTGGTTTTCCCTTAGTGGTGCATTGTCACTCTGCCTCTATTTTTAGCTCAGGTTTTTTATTTGCACCTCCCTGGAAACTTCTCATGTCCTGCTCACTGATCACATGGGGACTGATGGTCCCTCTTCTCCTGATTTCTCCAGCTCTGCCCTGGTAACTTCCAGCATACTGTACAGTAGGAATGGGGAGAGGCCAATCATGAAATTGAAATCACTGAACACCTGTAGAGAACCTGAGCTGAGCTGTGTGGCGCAGGCGCCCGCCAGCAGCCACCCGTGTCCACACCCTGTGGCTGAGCCACATCCTACATTCACAGGAGCAGAAGCAACACTTTCCGAGCACTTCCTGTGTACCAAGCATCTTGATAAACGTGTCCTCACCACAGTCCTGTGGGCAGGTACTCTGAGCAGCCCCATTTAACAGAGGATGAACTGATGTTCAGGGAGGTAAATACCCTGCCGAAGATGGCTGAGTTCACTAGTGGAAGATCTTTACCTCAAAGCCAGGACTGCCTGATGCTTGACCACCATGTTGTAATGCCTCCCACTGGCAGAGAAGTAGGACCGGAGTCCTCCACCTGGAATTGACACCAGTTATTTTAAATGTCGTCATTCTTTAGCACCACCCCCCTCCCTTTTCTTTTCTAACAGAGATGTAGCCTCAGGACAGCATGTGGTTCTAGCTTGGTCTGCTCTGAAGAAAATGTACAGAGACATCTTAATACGAGGAAAAGATGGTGCACCTCTGAAGTGTGATGAGTCGGGGAAGGAAGAAAAGCTGGCTGAGGTGAAGCTCCTTGTGGTCCACCTGAGCGGGTCATTTGAGGTCATCTCTGGACGCTTACTCAAAAGAAAAGGCCATTTTATGCCCCCCGAGTTACTGCAGTCCCAGTTTGATACTCTGGAGCCCCCATCAGCTCCAGAAAATTTCATCCAGATCAGTGTGGACAAAAATCTTTCAGAGATAATTGCTACAATTATGGAAACTGTAAAATGAAATGAGAATCCTTTCATATCAGTGGTCCAGGACAAAGTTAAGCATAAATCTCTATCCCATCCCAAACCGTGTTCCTGTATCCTTGTCGATACTGCATTCTAAATTCTTCTTAAGGTGAACAAACCACAGTGTGTTCAGATATGCTTGTTTGGGTGTATTTTTAGGAATTTGTGACACTCTCGTCGTCATACTCTGGCACAGAGAAGAGAGGGAACTTTGAAAGTAAAGCTTCAATTGCAGTTTAAATTCATGTGACCCAATCAGATGATCAGAGGAAATTCCATAACTGATGCTGTAAATCATCACCTCATTTAGAACATTCTTGATCATGCCTATATTTGGACAAATAAATGAAACTTGGCTATCCTTGACATCCCCTAGAAATTGGTCTCAGGAGCAGAAACGTGCAAAATCGACCACTCACCAGCAAGTCATGTCACACCACATGCTTCCCAATCCTCTCTCTCCTTGGGTCATTTCAAGATAAATAAAAAGCACACATAGTTCATGGATATAAAAAATTGAAGGGGCCAGCCCCATGGCATAGTGGTTAAGTTCAGTGTGCTCTGCTTCAGTGGCCCAGGGTTTTCAGGTTCAAATCCCGGATGTGGACCTACACCACTCGTCAGACTTGCTGCTGTGGCAACCCACATACAAAATAGAGGAAGACTGGCACAGATGTTAGCTCAGGGCGATTCTTCCTCAGGAAAAAAAAAAAAAGAGGAAGATTGTCAACAGATGTTAGCTCAGGGTGAATCTTCCTCATGAAAAACAAAAAAATTGCAAAGGTGGAACTTGAGTGAATGAAGCACAGGACTCTGATCCAGTCTGCCCTGCCTCATCTTACAGAGAGACCTCTGTGAGACTAGGCTGGTGTCAGCCCACCCCCCTCTCCTGCTGTAAAAGCCATCAGTGATGGATACTAGGCAGGCAAGGAAGGAACACTAGAGCTGCTATGGCCAAGACACAAAATGAAACCTTCCAGTGAGCAGCGATGTGCCAGCAGCAGCTGGCCTGGGCAAGGCTGCACGGGAGGTTGGAGGCACTGGTGCATTCCTGGCACGCAGCTTACCGGGCACCCACCAGGGAAGCTGCCTTTTGGCCAGCCATGGGCTGAGTTTGAGCCCTTCCCCCACAGGGCTCCAGGAAGAAGCTTCTTTACCCCTCTATGCTGATCAGCCACTCCTGCAGGGCCACTGGTTGGCTCTGGCCAGAAAGTGAGTTTTGGAACCAGTTACCTGTTTTCTTTCACAAGGGCATGCAGCCTTTGTCTACAACTAGAATATGTGTGTGAGGTGCCAGTGGAATGAAAGGGCCCTTCTAGGGGAACGGATCTTGCCTAGAAAAATGCGGAGCCCCGGATTTTCCTCTCTGCCAGACTATTTGGGGCACCTCCAGCCTGGTTTCAGTTTACCTCAACCCTCATATTCAGGGTCCAGGCCCTTAAGCTGTCCAGTCAACATATTCCGCCTGGGTGGATGAGATTCACCCTCAGACAGAGGACTCCCTCAGTCCACTGTACTCAGTGAGTCCATACTGGGTACTGTGATGGGCACTCTGGAGGGTTTGAAGACCCATAACACAAAGCCTTGCTCTCAGGTAGCTTAAGTCAGGGTGGAAAGACAGGGCATCTCATATCCTCTGGCACAGGCTCGAGTTCTCAGTGAAGGCAGTTCACAAAGAAGAACTGATTTTCAAATATCCCGCTGGACATTCACGTGGGACTAAATGAAAAAGCCTGTTTATAATTATAGGAGCACAGACTCTAACTCTATTTTGTACATAAATAAAAATTTTTTTTTCAGTTTTAATATAACTGAAATTTCCAAGAATGCAATAAAGGCACAATTGTATCCCATTTTATTTTTAACATTACCAAGAGTTGTTTACCTGTGAAAAGTCAGTGTATTTCTGTCACGAATACAACACACCTACATCCACCTGCATTTGTAATTCTTCGTGAAGCACCAATGGGCGCAAACACCCAGCTGCTCCACTGTGTTCATCTAGTGTAGCCATGCCCAAGCATTACCTGTTACAACTCATTCGTTTATTACAAGTTACTTTTTTTTCTCCTTTAGTTAAGGCATCATATTTATTATTTGCTTAGGTAAGTTTTATTAGCAATTAATTTCGCTTCAAGATGGTAAAGGGGGGGCATTAGAAAACAGTTGTTAAAAAACGGGGGTGTTGAGTCTCACGTTGTTGAGAGCGTGGCCACAGGGAGGCCCAGGTGGGCCAGTGCTGCCCTCTGGTGTCCCAGGGGCACAGCAAGCACAAACTGCTCTCCGAGCCCTGAGAACCCCCCAGCAGCCAAAGGTTCTGTCCCTGGGTTAGGAGCAGTGAATGCTGCTCCCCTCCCAGCCCTGACCACACCCCCTGCCCGGCCTCTATGACCCGGGAACAAGGGGCAGGGGCTCAAAATAAATGCTAACGAAAGATTTCCTCAGCCCTGCAAATACCACTTACCACCCCTCTGGCAGGACTCTCCACCTTGCCCCCTTTCCACTCCCCACCACCAGAGGAAGCTGAGATTAAACATTTTCTTCTCCTATAAAATGGGGACACCACCTGCCTCATAAGGTTGTGAGAACTTGCAATGCTGAGACCAAAACCTGACACTAACTGCTCAAGTGTTAGCTCTTGGTATACTTGTCATCTCCTTGAGTTTGAGGGAGTGTGGCCACAGGACAAAAACTCCTAATCCTGTTTTTCACTGTGGGAAGCTTATACAACCCTTCTAAGTATGTGAATCTTAAGTCTTTGGGCTCTGGTGGGTCTTCCTTCTTAATCCCTGCCAGGGTCTCCTTGCACCCCTCCCTTGGCCAGGTCGAATCAGGCAGGGTCGGGGATGATGCCCTTGAAGCCTGAGACGTCTAGCCAGCTCTGGAATCAGGACCCAGAAAAGGCTGGGCTCTGGGCACAGCACTGCCACAAACTCACTGGGTAGCCATGACCCCTATAGGTGTCACCAGGTGCCCTCAGAGGTCTGGGACTCACACCCCGAGCCTCTCTAGAGACTTCTCTGATGAGCAAACTATTTTTCAGTGGATGGGAGTGCAAGAAAGGACAAATTAAAACATGCTGACTTTAATCAGATACAATCCATCAGGGATTTTAATTTTCTGAAACTGTAATATGCAAGTTTATTCTCCCTTCACTGAATAGCAAATCTGTATATTCAAAATGATTGTTTTATAGTATTAACTATATTATGGGCATTATGAATACCCAGCAATTACCAAGGAAGTGGAATTTGATTAGAGATCCAGCCTACAAGCTGTGTTGGGCATCAATGTAGGGAGTCGTTTCAACTCCTGCAGACTCGCACGTGTGAAATGCAGCTTGGTGCTGACTCCGGGATAATCTTCAATCCCTCCAGTGAACGTTCTCGCCAGCAACCTATCTTAGATGCTGTGGAAATTGAATTTCACTTTGTGGGTGAAGGTTGGAAAGTCATCAGCCATCACTCAGGAGAACCCCAGATCTAATGCTGAGTATCTAACACACACCTGAATTAAGGATTAAGGATCCAATCAGATGGTGCTGGGGGAAATGACTCCAAACCATGACAGTTGTTCATGGCAGGACTTGGGACACCTGCATGCCCAGAGAGCCTAGCAAAAACCATGGTGGGATATGGCAGACTACAGGGAGTATTGAGAACTGTGGCAAAATGGAAAATGCATGCTTTATCTAAAAAGGGCAGCCAGCACTCAGCTTGATGAAGCAGGACCACACCTGCATTCAACAAGCTGGGTTTAGTGCTTGTTGCATAAGGGAGAACCCACACCTTCAGAACTGTGAGGGGAGTCTCAGTGGGATGTTAGAAAGACTTATGATTTGAACACATTAGGTGATATGGGGGAGGATTCAAGGAAGCAGGGCTCTCTCTAAATGGATGTTGTGAGGAAGTGGGGGATGACTGGGTATCTTAATAAGGTAAGAGGAATGAAGTGAGGCGAAAGCCATGATTCATAGAGAAGTACATTAGCCAAGACAGGGAGTTGTTTGGTCATTTTTGTGGTTTGGACAAGTTCATGTTTTTCTGTGTGCAGGCAGAGTTACAGAATGGTCTTTTGTGTTGACCATGGTCACAGAGCAGTACTGTAGTTCCATAGGTGTTCTGTGGAAGTGTCTATGTTCAGCAGGACAAAGCCTTGCTTTAGTACTAGGCCAGCTCCTGGATGACAGGGACTGCTTTTCTATCATTGTCCAAGATTGTTGTCACTAAGATCTTTTAGTCTTAGATTTGAAATGGTTGAGGACACATCATTTATCTTGACAACAAGCACAGAGCTCAGAGGGTTTAACTTGAAGGGAGGGTTTAACTTGAACTTGCCTTCTCAAGAAATGAGAATTTGGTAGGTTTTCCACCTTAAGGGCGTGCCAGGTTGCGGTAGCTGGTTAGACCCTGAGATCAGAGGGTTGAGTGACAGGAAGCTAGTGGATTAATCTCTCAGGACATATACCACTTCCCCTTCTGTAGCTAGGGCTCTTGTGGTTAGGGTCTATGAATCTGGGAGACCTTGACAAGGTCTCTCATCCCACCCAGCAAACACACTTGTCCAAGGAGCACCCAGGCCCTAGATAAAAATGTTATCCCTGTTTCACCATGTATCAGTACTTCATTCCTTTCTATTGCTGAATAGCATTCTCATTGTATGGATATACCACATTTGGTTTATTCATTCATCAGTTCATAGATATTTGGGCTGTTTCCAATTTGGGGCTATTACAAATAATGCTGCTATGAACATTCAAGTACAGTTTTTGTGGGGACATAACATTTTCATTTCTCTTGGGTACATTCATACCAAGCAGTAGAAGTGCTGGGTCAAATGCTAACTCCATGGTTAACCTTTGAAGAATCTGCTGAACTGTTTTCCAAGTAGCTGCTCCATTTTCCATTTCCACCAGCAATCCGAGCCAACACTTACTTTCTGTCCTGTGATTAGAGCCATCCTAGAGGATGTGAAGTGGCATCTCACTAAGGTTTTGATCTGCATTTCTCTAATAATGCTTGAGTATCTTTTCATGTGCTTACTGGCCATTTGCTTATCTTCTTTGGAGAAACGTCTATTCAAGTCCTTTGTCCATTTTTTAATTGGGTTGTCTTTTATTGTGGAGGTCTA